TGGAGATTCCTCAAAAGACTAGGAATAGACTTACCATGTGATTCAGCAATCCCACTCCTAGGCATACATCTGGAGGAAGCTCTCATTTTAAAAGATACGTGTACCCCAGTGTTCACAGCAGCACTATACACAGTAGCCAAAACATGGAGACAACCGAAATGTCCATCGGCAGATGACTGGATACAGGAGCTGTGGTATATTTATACAATGGAATACTACTAAGCCATAAGAAAGAATAAAATGATGCCATTTGCAGCAACATGGATGGAACTTGGAGATTGTTATTCTAAGTGAAGTAAACCAGAAAGAGAAAGAAAAATACCATATGATGTTACTTATATGTGGAATCTAAAACCTTGACACAGATGAACTTATTTACAAAACAGAAAGAGACTCCCAGACATAGAAAACTCATGGTTACCAAGGGGGAAGGGGATTGGAAGGGATAAATTGGGAGTTTGAGATTCACAGATACCATTATATGTAAAATAACAAACAAGTATAGTAACCTGTGGTGAACAATAATATGAAAAGGAATATATGTGTGTAACACGTGTGACTGAAACCTTATGCTGTACACCAGAAATTTGACAACACGGTGAACTGACTATACTTCAAATAAAAAACAGAGAAAAATGGCACTGATGGACTTGCTCCGTGCATGGTTGCCACACACCTTCAGTTTGCAAAGAGCAGCATCTGTGAAGTGCAGTAAAGTGCGGTGTGCCTGTGCCCTCACCTCGCATCTACCGCTCGTGCTACTGCGCGTCAGGTTATGGTGCACTCACGTCACATGCCCAGTCCCAGAGGACATTTGAGTTCGCTTGCTGGAGAATAAGTTTTGGAGTCTAAAAGAACAAAATTCATTTCAAGCTCCTGCACTTAACAACACTATGTGACCTTTGAAAGTATGCATAATCTCTCTAAACTCTACTTCCCCCATCTGTTCAATGAGAATAAAAATACCTACTTCCTAGAATTCTTGTGAGGATTAAATGAGATAATATGTGAAAAATGCTCGTTATCATGGCTGGCCTCTAGTAGCTATTAAGCTTTTAAAAATTATTAGACCTGTTTGTAGTTAATTGAATAAGCAGTATATTAAGTTATTAATTAAACAGGATTAAGTAATTGTAAGGTAACATATCTCTAATTAATTTTATGTACTATAATTTTACCCCAACAAAATGTTAGTTTTAAATCAACTAATCTGGTAATCTTTTATTATTACAGTTAAAAATAAAGCAGCTTCAGAACTTCCAGATACAGCAGAAAATCTTCCAGATACAGCAGAAAATCTTCCAGAAATGAATCCATCAGTTAGTGACCTAATATTTCAATTAGGTTTAAACAAAGTGGTAGGTGAGTAGAGGTTTGTGTTTGGGCACAGTGGAGCCGATCCCGGGAGTTAAAGCAGCTCAGCTGTGTAGCGCAGTTACAAAAGGAAACAGAAAACTCAAACGTGGAGCAGTTTAATACATTTGGTCCTCTGTGTCCATTGGTTTTGCATCTGTAGATTCAGTCGACCACAGATCAAAAATATTCAGGAAAAAATTTTTCAGAAATTTCCGAAAAGCAAAACTTGAATTTTCCATGCACTGGCAACTGTTTACGTGGCATTTACTTCGTATTTACAACAACTTATGTAGCATGTACGTGGTATTAGGTCTTACAGTCATCTAGAGAGGATTTAAAGTGTACGGGAGGATGAGCATAGGTTATGAAGATACTCAGCCATTTTATGTAAGGGACTCGAGCATCTGTGGATTTTGGTATCCACAGAGGGTCCTGGAGCCAATCCCCTGCAGATAACTGAGGGACAGCTATAATAATTTCATTCTAACTAACCAATCTATGTATCAATTAACGTATGTCTTTAAAAGAATTTCTCACGTGCTCATGAGGTATCACCTCACACCAGCCAGAATGGCCATCCTTCAAAAGTCCACAAACAATAAATGCTGGAGAGGCTGTGGAGAAAGGGGGACCCTCCTACACTGTGGTGGGAATGCAGTTTGGTGCAGCCACTATGGAGAACGGTATGGAGATTCCTCAAAAGACTGAAAATAGAGTTACCACATGATCCAGCAAATCCCACTCCTGGGCATATATCTGGAGGAAACTAATTTGAAAAGATACATGCACCGCAGTGTTCATAGCAGCACTGTTTACAACAGCCAAGACATGCAGCCTAAATGTCTATCAACATTTGAATCCCCTAAAAAAAAGGCTGGGTACAAGTAATTCTATAATTACAAAAGACAGTATAAATACATGTACATAAGGAAATAAACAATTAAACAATAATTAAACAAAATTTTAACAATTGTGATAATTATTTTATATGATAGGTTATTATATTTATAATATGTATAACAATAGTGCAAAAATGGGGAAGAAGGACTACTACTATATAAAGGTAGCATTTCTGTACCTCACTGGAATTACTGGAATTTAATTGTAAGTCTGAAGTAAATTCTTTTTTCAATTGAGAAAAAATTGACATAGAGCATTGTATATTTAAAATTTACAACATGTCGATTTGATACATTTGTATATTGCAACATGATTACTGCCCTAGTTTTAGCTAACACCTCCATCATGTCATATAACTATTTCTTTTTTGTGGTCAGAACATTGTCTAGTGTCTTCTAAAATTGTGGTGATGGTTATAGAACTTTGAATATATTTTTTAAAGCATTAAAATGAACAATTTAAATGGGCACATTATATGATTTGTCATATAGTTTTTAAAAACTACCTGTGTGTCCAGCAAGACTCTCATTCAGACTTGATGGAGAAATCAAAAGCTTCACAGATAAACAAAAGCTGAAAGATTTTAGCACCACCAAACCAGCTTTGCAGCACATGTTAAAGGACCTTCTCTAGGCATCAAACCGTAAGAAAAGAGAACAAAAAGAAGAGGAAAAACAGAAAAAGACTTACAAAAGATTGCTTTGGCAGTCCAGGGTCTTTTATGGTCCCATATTAATTTTGGAATTGTTTTAGTTTTGTGAAAAATGTTGTGAGTATTTTGAGAGAGGCTGCATTGGATCTGTAAAGTGTTTTGGGGAGTACAGCCATGTTGATAATGTTGATGCTTCCAATCCAAGAGCACAAGGTATCTTTCCATTCTTTGTATCATCTTCAGTTTCCTTCGTCAATGTTTTACAGTTTTCCAAGTATAGGTAACCTCCTCGGTTAAGTTTATTTCTATGTATTTTGTTGTTTTTTTATGCAATGGAAATGTTTATGCCAGTTATAAAATTCTGGTTTTGAAGTGAAAAAAAGAGTGAATGAAGGGCTGCAAATGGCAAAACATCCTTTCTCAGGGGTGCGCTGTGCTCCACTGCATGTATGTGCTGCACCTTCTTTGTCCGTTCGTCTGTCGGTGTGCACTTGGGACACTTATGTGTCTTCACAGTTGTGAATAATGTTGCTGTTAATAGCACGGTGTGTGTATCTTTTTTAAATAATTCTTATTTTGTGGTTGGCTTTATTCCTCTGATAACTATGTAAGATTTAAAAGCTAAAGCTCTAAATGTTCTTAGAAACAGTGAACAGTACATATATGTAAATTTAAAAATATATGCAGTATATTGTGTATATGTATTTACATGCAATATATTGTGTATGTGCAAACAGTAATAATCCTACCTAATAAAACTGAAAAATGAAAAGAAAAAGAAAAAAAACTGGCTCAGTTAACACCAACAAGAATAGGCTAAAAAAATCTGAGAAATGGGAGGATATGGTGATGGAGAAAACTGTGACTTTTACTAGAATATAAATTCAAAAACTATTATAAATTATAAAAACTTCCAGCACATACGTTTTAATTCCTAGTACCTGACCTGACCTTGCTTACTTGAGGATTCTTTGCTTCCTTACTTCAGATGAACAAGTCCTCCGCACGACAGTAGCTGGAGAAAGAACCAGAAGCTAACTTTCCCTAGCTTTATTTTGCTGTGGATCTTAACCCTTTCACAGTGTGTTACTTGATTGTTGAAAACGTGCTCTGCCTCCTCTGAGCCCCTCTGTTCGTTCTCTTGACGCTGCTGTAGCAGCAGCCGCTTGGTGCAGGCTGCACGGCCTCTCATCCGCCTGGCCCAGCCACTCTCCCAGGACAGACTTCCATCTGGTGTCTTGATGGTGACAGGTTTCTAACTTCAGGTACTAGCTCTGCTAGAACCAAATTCACCACAACTTTCAGACCCAGTAGTTGATCATTCCTAATTACTTCTTTTTTAGTATAAACTCTCCTTTAATAATGTGCATGTATTTTTCCTGTAATTGGACCTAGTTGCAGTTTTCAAATTTAAAATCACATAAAAACTCAAATGGAAGGAGACCCAATCTCAGTCCTGGTACTTGTACAGATGTAAGCATTTCCTCCTCCCAAGCTACAGGGTCTTCAAGCCTCAGGGACCTGGGAGAGCACTCTTCTCTCAGTCTGCAAAATGTCCTGTTACTATTTTCCATCACTGATGCCCACTTTGTTTACAATTAAGTAACAGAAGGGCATTAAAATATTCCTGGATGAGTCCAAGAATTTCTTCTCTGTGGTGACAGTGCAGACCATGGTTTGCAACGTAACTTGTGAGAAAAAAATTTTATGTTCCACATCAGTGGATATGTACCCCTACAGTATGATTATGACTCTAATGGAAACTTAAAAGTTACGTTATTATCATAAACTCTTCAGGGTAAAGAATTATAAGCTGTAAGGTTATACAGCAAGTTTGTCATTGTCTGGATACACAGTCTCCGTCAAATCATCAGCGTCTCAAAGCGTCAGTGGTTTGGAGGCTTAACAAGGCTCACAGCCCTTCCAGTTCTCAGGCTTGGTGACTGCAGCCCAAACGTCGCATCGTGCTGCCCACTCGTTAGTGAGATGGCTAACGAACATCTTGCTACACACACACACACGTGCGCGCGCGTGCACACGCACAGTCACGTTAGGATCACCTTATAAAGTGTTTTGATATTTATTTCTGTAGAAACTGACCTAGAACGTTTGAAAGATACTGTTGGAAGACGCCTATTAGCGGGGGAAGTGAAGATAGAACCAAAGAGCCTCCCTGGTAAGAACAAGAGTTGTGCAAGTCTAATCTTTGTGGTTTATTTACCTTCTTTGGAGTTTAATTATGAATTTTTAATGACAGGAGTACCCATGTGTTGTTGTTATATAGGTAAAATCTTTGTGAATATCCTGATAATTGGTTGTACTGTGGTATTTATTAGAAATTTAAAAATTAGCTAGGTATTATGAGTTTTAGAAATCATCTATTTAGAAATTAAGTTATAAAATTAATGTTACAGGGACCTCAGAATATACTTGATGCGAGTATGTTCAGTTCGTTCTGCTCTCTACTTCCAGCTGAGATAGAAGGTTGCTTGCAGTTGGCCAAAGGAGAAAGGCCCTGGTGAATGAATGTGACAGTGACAAGGGGAGTGAACACACGGTTAATTCCTCGGTTACCAGTGTTCTCCATCTGTTGGGAAGATCAGGCACATTTATTGTGTCTCCTCGGTAGTAGAGTAGAGCCCGTTAGTTGTATTGGGTAGTTCAGAGATTACGCTGTGGCCTCGACTCCTATAAGTGATAGACACGCTGCCCTGGGGCTTCTGGTGTGACACCAGGAGGCAGACAGCAGAGACCTGACGGAAGGAGACAGACAGCACTGCTAAAGCCACCGAAGTCCAGAGGGGACTGCATATCCGAGGCTTCTTCCCTTGGAGAGCAATTGTCGTGGCTTCAAACTGCAGAGGGAAATGATTTCAGTAAAATATTTCAGCCAAATAACTAAAATTACAAACAAGAAACCAGTAGTAGTATGCCCTGAAAGAGGATGAAGTCAGTATGGCAAGAGGCTGTATTATGAATCTAAAATACCCAGTTTTCGGCATCTAGTTATGGGTCATGCAAAGAAACAGTAAAATGTGATGTGTAACAGGGAAAAAGGCACATAGCAGAAACTGTGCATGAGCATGCAAGGTTTTGGACTTAAAGAACAACTGAAAAACAGTTATTATAAATACGTTCAAAGAACTAAATGTAAACATTATTAAGAAGGAAGCGAAGGTATGATGACAGTGTTTCACCAAGTAGGGAGTATACACCACTTAGAAATATGTCACTTAGAAAGGACCATGTGGAAATCCAGGAGTTGAAAGTACAGTAACTGAAAGTTTAGCAACCAGTGGAGAGTTCAGTACGTTTACACCGTCAGAAGGAAGAATCAGCACCTCAGAGTGCAGGGCACAGCGAGGATGGCAGAGGTCAGACGGTGTGGTTCTGAATAATGGCAGAGATGGGAGCCAGACGTCACACACAACATGAGTAGTATATAAACACTGCACATGCATGCGCTGTCTTCTCTCAGTTTCTCTTAAGGATGAGAAGTTATGTAAATAAATAATTAAAAAAGCAATTGTGATAAGCGAATTTATGCTTACACATTACAAATATAAAAATAGGGTAAGAAAAGAAGTTATAAGGAGAACTATATCTGTAGAATATGAAGGTAACATTTCTAAATCTACCTAGAATTTACTCTGTGTGGTATAAATCTGTAGCAGATTCTAAAATTGACTGTGGTGATTGTTACGTAGTTCTTTGAATATATTGTAAGCATTTTTAAAGCAGGAAACCAACAATTTAATAAGACTTGAAAATCTGACCTTTTTTACATATACATACATACATATTTTTTCAGATTTTCATCCGTTGTTACAAGAAATTCAATATAGTTCCCTGTGCTACAGTCGGTCCCTGTTGTCTGTTTTATCCATAGTAGTGTGTATCTGTTGATCCCAAACTCCTAATTTTATCCCTCCCCTGTGCTTCCCCCTGTGGTACCCATAGTTTGTTTTCTATGTTTGACATTTCATTAGAACTCTTCTTGTGTAATGAAATAATGCTGATTAAAGGA